TGTAGGCCACGAGCTACTCACTTTTTCGGATGCATACTCTGGGTATAACCAGATCAGCATGTATCCACCAGACTAGGAAAAGACATTCTTTATCACTCCAAAGAGAACCTATTATTACAGGGGCATGCCCTTTGGACTGAAAAATGTTGGAGCAACATATCAACAACTAGAGAACAAGATGTTCTAATCTTAGATTGGAAGAACAATAAAGGTATATATGGACAATATGCTGGTAAAGAGCCTCACCACAGTAGACCACCTGCAAGAGACCTTTGATGTTCTCTAATCATACCACATGAAGCTAAATTCTAAGAAGTGTGCCTTTGGCGTCGGGTCAGGAAAGTTCTTAGACTTCATGGTCAACCAAAGGGGAATTGAGGTGAATCGAGACAAAATAAAGGCCATCCTGGATATGAGGTCTCCCACCACAACCAAGGAACTCCAGCGCCTCAATGGGAGAATTGTAGCCCTTAACAGATTTGTCTCCAAAATTGTATATAAATGTTTACCTTTCTTCAAAATTCTCCGGAAAGCCTTCAAATGGGGGCTTGACACGAAGGAAGCTTTTCAAAACTAAAAGCTTATTTGGCTACGCCCCCTTTCCTCTCCCATGCCATGTTAGGGAAAACTTTATACCTATACCTCTCCACTTCCTCATCAGCAATAAGCTCTGTCCTCATCAAGGACAATGAAAGAGTGCAAAAGCTTATGTATTTCGTAAGCAAAACGTATCGGGGAGCAGAAATCAAATATTCAGGGCTAGAAAAGTTAGCACTGGCCCTGATCTCTATAGTGAGGCATCTCTGGCATTACTTTCAGAGTCACACCATCGTCGTTGTCACTGATCAGTCTCTGAAAAGAGTCTTGGGAAAGCCAGATATTTCTGGAAGGCTTCTGAAGTGGGCAGTTGAGTTGAACGAGTTCGATGTGCATTACTAAACAAAGGCAACCATCAAAGCACAAGCCTTGACAGACTTCATTGTTGAGCTCACACCGGAGGAAGAAGAATACAGTGAACTTTTGGCATCTTTACCAGACATCCAAAAAGTTGCATCAGGAGTCCAACTAGAGACCCAAGCGACCCAAACAAATGCCTTAGCCACCCAGGTGCCTAGCCCGGGCACCCCGAGCAAACTAACGTCCTACCTAGGCACCCTGGCAGGCGTCCACAACGGGCTCTGGCACTCCCACTTTGCCATCTCCCCAAATTACGGAGTCAATGAGCTAGAAACTTTATGTGGATGACTCTTTGACCAACGAAGGAAGTGGAGCAGGCCTAATACTTATTAGTTCTGATGGCACTTCAATCAAATATGTTGTAAAACTTCATTTTGTGGCCTCCAAAAATGAAATAGAATACAAAACCCTCCTTTTTAGCTTATGGTTGTCAATTGAAATGGAAGTCAACACCTTGTCATTTTTAGTGACTCACAGTTGATAGTGAACCAAGTGAAGGGCAAGTTTGAAGCAAAATATGCCAGGATGCAAGAATACTTGGTAATGATGCAAGTCATACTGACCAAGTTCTGTCACTTCCAAATTCACCATGTTCCGAGGGAAGATAACTCCGTAGCGAATGCACTGGCTAAACTGGCTTTATCTTTAGAAGCCCCACCAAGAACAACATTCATTGGTCACCAGTTCAAACCAAGCAGACCAGGCGTAGAGGCCACTAATGTTAACTTCACATCTATCCGAGTCAAACTGAATGACCTCAATTAGGGCATACCTTCAGGAGGGCGCATTACCAAACAACCCGTTGGAAGATAAGAAACTTAGAATAAGAGCCTCAAAGTTTACCATCCTGTAGGACATACTGTATAAAAAGGGCTACTCCCTACCACTACTATGTTGCCTCTCTTTAGAGGAAGCTAACAATGCCCTATGAGAGATTGATGAAGGAGTGTGTGGAAACCACTATAAAGGACATTCCCTAGCCCCAAGAGGCACTTAGGTAGGGTTACTTATGCCCTAGCATGGTTAGAGATGCACAGGAGTTCACCAAGAAATGCGACAAGTGTCAACACTTTGCCACTGTGCCCAGGCAGCCACTAGAGGAATTTACAACTATCACAAGTCCATGACCCTTTTTCAAGCGGGGCATCAATATTCTGGGCCATTTACCTCTAAGAAGAGGGCAATACAAGTTTGTGGTAGTAACCATTTACTACTTTACAAAATGGGCGAAGACTGAGTAAATGGTATGTCATAGTTGGTGACAACACCAAGCAATTCAATAATAGACTCCTGAACTTGTTCTGCGCTGACCTTCAGATCAAGCAGCCTTATTCTAGCCCAGCACACCCGCAGGCAAATGGACAGGTAGAGGTCATAGTTAGAATAACACTATGCAACCTAAAGACAAGGCTAGAAAGAGTAAATGGTATGTGGGTTGATGAACTACTGGGTGTATTGTAAGCCTACCACACGATGCCAAGAGCCCCGATTGGAGAAACTCCTTTCTCATTCACCTTTGGAACCAGAGCAATCATACCTGTAGAGATTGGGGTACATTCTCTACGGGTCCAGCACCACAACCCCATAACCAACGAGGAAAGACTTTGCGTCAACCTCAGCTTGGTGGAGGAGAAAAGAGAAAGGGCCATGGTTTAGAACGCGGAGTACAAGTGCTGCATGGCAAGATACTACAACTCGAGGGTGAAGCCTCGTTCGTTCTTACCAGGAGACTAAGTTCTCAAGAAGGTAATCCTCACCACTAAGGATTCGTGAAAAGGGAACTTGGTTCAAACTGGGAAAGACCCTACCTCATAATAGAAGTAGTGAGGTCAGACACCTACAAGATCCAGAATTCCAAAGGAAAAGTTTTACCCTATCCATGGAATGTTGAGCATCTGAAAATGTACTACCAATAAAACTTAAGGATGGCAAAATTGATAAAGTTGGGGGCTTAATTTTATTTTTTCTTGTACCTTTTTTGGGTTATTACTCACCATTGCTTAGAATGAGTAGTCATTAAATAAAATTTTTTAAAATCTACTTCAAAAAGTTCCTTTCATCATTGCATTCTATTTCAAGTGAATATCAGTGGAAAAAAGCTATTTTTACAAAAGAAGGCTGCACATTGCCTTTCTACCAAAAAAAAAATCAAAAATCAAAAATCAAAAAGCACTCTAACTGTTCTCATGGTCATCATCCTCCTCCTCTTCATCCTCTGCTTCGTCAGAGTCACCACCATCACCATTAGCATCATAAGGTGCCTCATACGACACAAAGCCTAAAAAGTCAACATCAGGGAAAGTAGTAGAAATCTTTCCCCGAAACTCCTCATAGCCATCGTTGAAGGCATCTGCAAGGCCACTTTCTGAATCAGCCTCAACCTTGGCGGCCCTCTCATGAGCCAATTGTAGATCCACCTCAGCCTGGGAAACTTTCTCGCGAGCTACCTTCAACTTTACTTCTGCTCTCAAGCAAGCAACTTCACCATCTGCCTCGACTTAGCGGCCCTCTCGTGGGTTGCCACAAGCTCTGCTTCGCCCCTCATGCAAGTGACCCTCTCATGAGTCATAACAAGCTCAACCTAGGAAACCCTACCATTAGTCTTAAGCTCAGCAATTCTTCATTGAGTAGCAAGAAGCTCCCTTTTTAAAGCCTTATGAGCAAGCCTCTTCCCCCTGACAGTTGAGCTCAGCTGGCTAAACTGGACAACCTTCAAAAAAAGGCATACAGAAGCAACTGAAACCTGAAGAGGATAAAAGAATGTCAGTACCTGAGGGAGAGACAAGAGTAATGGAGAAAACTGACCCTTACCTAGGCCAAGCCTTCTAGAACAGTGTCGATGATACCCTCAGTGCCCTAAGCATCAACCATACTAATGTTTACAGGAAACATAAATCTTCCAAGTTGGTCCCTAACGATCAGCACATCATCCAACATGGAGACAGTCTGAGTGGCTGTCCCTATAGAAGTCCTTACAAGAGGAGTTGATGAATGGGGGGTAGGAGGTATGGCCGCTTGGGGAGTCTCTAGAGCGGCGGTCACCTCGGAATGAGTCACTAACTGGGGAGGTACCACAGGAGGCTTTATTTGAAAGGGGCTTGCCAGAGTATCGCTCACCTTTGCCACCTTAGGAAAAGAAGTACTCCAAGTGGAATAACGAGACTTCACCACCTTCTTATCCACTGCAAAAGGGATAAAGTGTTATCTTGAAGAAAAATTATGTAAAGAAAGGGAATCCAAGGGAATTAGCATACCTTTTCTCTTTAAAGAAGAACCACCAGGCCTCGGAGAGGGCACACCAACTCTAGCACTTCCAGTAGGGGAATCTCTAGTTCCACCCTCTCTAAGCATGAAGGTCCCAAAGTCTTTCATATGATGAGCCTTTATAACTTGCAACATCCATTCTTGGTTTTTTGAGAGCACCGAGGAGCCTAGAAGGAATGTGATGAGTACATATTTGCAAAAGAGCGTAGAAAAAAGAATAAGAGTGGGCATACCAATTCTCTTGGGAGTATCTTATCTTGCTAGTACCAAAGCTTCATCAGCCTCTGAACCTTACTCTACTCCAACAAACATAAAACGAGCCTTCCAACTGTGGCAATTAGAATACAGTCCGATAATCAGTTTTCCTCTCCTCGGAGCAAAATAATACTAACTGCAATTGGGAGTAGGAGTCTCACTTAGAGTGTAAGCCGCACAAAACTCTTCAGGAGAAACATCCTCATGATGCACCTTTCTCCACAGTGCCAGAAATTCCAGCAAAACTCTCCAACTGTTGGGTGCCAACTGCCCTGGCGCAAGTGAAAAACAATAGAGAATGCGACAAATAGAAGAAGGCATTGGGAGCCTCAGCCTAGCCTCAAGCACCTCCTCATAAATGGTAATGTATCCAGATGAGTCATCACAAGCAAGTTCACCCATTTTAGCTCGACGACGCAGTACCGTTGGAAGGATGTTATAAGTGGAAACAACTCTTAGAATATCAACATTAGTGTTGAAGGTAGTAGAAATGGTACTTACTTTAGATCTGTCGTCATCAAGAGCTACCTTTCATCGACTTTTGATGTTGCGAGGGTGAGAATCGTTGCTCGAGCCATTACTAGGAGACCCTTGAGGGATCTGACTCTATGGAGTTTTCCACCTGAATGAACCATATCATCCATCGTCTGCCTAGAATTAGCGCTGCTGAAAAAACTAGCATCCCTTGGCGTACTCTGCTCCATGAGCCGGGACCCAGACTTCCTAGCTCCATGCCTACTTCCGCCACCAAGCCTGGTTCACCTAGCGTCGACAAGTCCATGTCCAGCATCACCCGCTCACACCCTAGCCTCAATGCCGCCCCTCGCACTCACGCCTGGCAACGCCAAGTGCCTCGCGACACCACTGGCGTGCATACCTGACCATACCTAGCATTTGTTGAACCCAATTACGGGCTCTGCTGCCTGTGTTCGTCATCTAGCATCGCCCTTCTATTGCGATCAACACAGCCACCATCCCTCGACAACCCTGATGCCTCGCCATCAGCGCTCTTTACTCGCAACGGCTCGCTATTAGGGCCCTTCACCCGCTCGCTGGCACATGGTGCCCATGGTGTGTCACCCTTGACGTCGACCCATGACGCCTCGACCTCCCTGATTTGAGCCTCATCTTTGGCGCTCTCTCCACAATAGGCACGTCCCTCCAGTTGTGTTCGTGGCGCCCCACGATTAGCGGGGCCCATGGGGTCTCGCCCATGATGCCCTCTCTCATCCCTGCAACTTGGTGCGTGCCCTTAGCGTTTCACCTCCAGGGCCCACGTGAATCAGATCAGCATTTGTGGAGCCTCCGGGCTCGCCTACACCACCATGGCACCTAGCTTTGCCAACTTCACCTTTGGTCACCACTACCCAACAAGCTCCTGACCGTTTGTCTCAGTGCTGGTTGTTCCATCGCCATGGATACCAGTGGACCTTTGCATCTCTTCTCCTTCACTCAACATTATCTCTGAGCAAAACTCAAAATGGGATCGCGAAGCTTCCCTCTTGCTTTTGTTCTTAGGACCTCACTAGGAGCCCTATCTCAAAGTGAATGAAATGAGAAGAGAAAAAAGGAATTCCAAATTTATGGCCTAGGGTTTTTTGAAATTCTAAAAGGAAATAAAGTGGGGGAGTTTATATAGCTAAAAATATCCTACAGACAAAATGAGTTTACATATTAGGAAGGGAAAGAGTTGACAGTCAAAAGAAGTCTCCGTCAGCCAGAATTCAAATTCAGCAAAATGCCCTCTTCCCCAAGTTTTATTGGACTCGGGGAATTCGGGGGCAAATGATAGGCCAGGTCCAAGGGCCCAAATTAGATTATAAGCCCAACTTGAACAAAGAGCTTAACTAGACGAGATCCAATGAGTCCAGCCCAAAACAGATCTCGCTTATCAGGGTTCGGGGAGTTACATCACTAAGGATTAGGCAAAGCCATCCCAAGAGCCTTATCCATGCCGCTTTGAAAAAAGTCAACCACCATGTCATCCTTTGACCTAATCTTAAGGAGAGCTCTATAGCTACTTAATTACTAAAACGATGCTTCAGTCCGTTAATCGACACTATAAATTGTAAACTCCGCCAATATTTGGGAGGCATTGAACACATCTGCTATTATTCTCATCTCTCTCTCATAGCTTGTACCTCCATTACTCTCATTTGATCTCCTTACATTCCTCAAAGTAATAAAACACTATACCATCCTAATCTTTCATAGTGGACTAGGTCACGTTGATCAAACCACTCTATATCTCTATTTTATTTGTGTTACTCTCTTTTTACTTAATTATTGCATTAATCCTTAATTACTTGACAGGTGGTGAAAAAATCAATTTGTGCATCAAACTGATTTAATGGGAATTTTACTATTTTTTACTTTGTATCCAATATTATATATAATATTTTTTAATTTGACAATTGGTAATATGAATATTCACACCAACGCTGTACAACTTGCGTGCGTTCCAAAATCCAAATTCCGAGTTCCAAAATCCAAATTCCGAAATCCAAAATTAAAGCAAAAACGCACCCACACGCACACCCGGCACGCACTCTCGTTCTATTGCTTCCGCTTATATTATCGATGAAGATCGTTCGCAGAGATTTGGTCCGTGATGGCCCTGGTAGTGTCAAGGTACATAATCCAACAGTAACGCAATGCCAGACGACCAAATTTTCTTTGTTTATTTGTCGTTTGATTTTTTAAGAATTCGAATTTGAATTTGATGTGGTTTTTGAAATTGGTGGGTGCAGATGATTCCAGAAGAAGCGGATGATTTGTGGCTTGCTTATAATCTGATTGTTGAGGGTGACACTGTCTTAGCTGTTACCGTTAGGTATACACTCTCTCCACGCAAGAGTGTGTGTGTGAATATGTGTGTTGCCGTCTCTTATTCATAGTGAAAGGTTGGATTTCTTATAATCATGCTTATCGAATTTTGTTAATTGGTCTTTCGAAAGTAAAGGTGCTGTTTGGTTGTGGAGAGGTTTGTGGAAATGAAGATATTTGGACTATATATGGGCTAATAGGGATGAAAATTGATAATTGGGACTATGTATGGCTGAAATTTTAGTGTTTCGATACTAAACCAAACGAAAGCAAAACCTAGCTTGGCAGTTAAATGAATTTTGTGTCTGACAATGTGTAAAAGCACGGGGACTTAAAATTCGAATCGGTATAAAATCATTTTAGGATACACAATTCCACACTAGGATAGAAATTTTTCTGTTTTTGCATCAGTGCTTGAGAGGGGGATAGTTACTGCTGTGGGTGGTAGAGAAAAGAAAGAACATCATCAAACATACAAAGTGAAGGGTGCGAATAAAATCAATTTGTACTTTTTTGGGTTTTTTGGATGTGGGGCGTGTGTGAAGAGGAGCAGTGAAATTATAATTATTGGTTACATTTAACACCGGATGTGTTTATGTTTTTGATTTTTTTTGAAAGATACCATTGGGCTGGAACCTCAACGCATGATAAATGAAGTAAACATTGTTCATGTTTATAAACTTGTGAGCAATTATATTCTTTGAGTGCATGAGGACCAATTAACCACCTTTTTCCCCCCTCTAAGTGAAGGAAACAGCTCAGTGTGGATGCCTCTAAAATGAGCCTTATCACCCTTTTAAAATATTCTATTTGCTGTGATGGTCCTATGCTTTTGCTGATCCACTAAGATAGTGAAATTGCATCAATACTGATGTCTAAACCCTATGTACAGACGGTGAATAGGTGTTTGTCACAACTTTACCAAATTAATCACGAGATAAGATCAATTCAAAATTTTGTGGGATAAAATGACTAATTAAGCAGTTTTAGGCAATCATATGTCATGATACAATATGATGAACCAATGGCTCTAAGTTCAATATATCTATGACCATAGTTGTGAATATGTTATGATACGTCTTGATACAGTACCCAAATGATACGTTTCTTACGAGTTGCATCATTTTTTACCGTACCTTGCGATACTTATACGTATCTTATGATACATTTCGATACAATGAAAAAGCGATTTGCGCAATATCTAAACGACATCGATTTCACAAGGACTTTTGTTTTTTACCATAAATAGTTAAAATAATGCTGTTTTCCGATATGTTATTTTTTCATTTTTGGATTATCTCAAACAAAAGAAGCTTTCGATCATCTTCTTGTCATGAGACCATCTTTTTTTTCTCCTTTATTTTATTTTTCTTCTTATTCAAACAGACAAAACCATTACTATATTGTGATATCTGTCGTAAAGATCAGTAATTGTCTCTCATTTGATCTTTATTGGACACTCACATCACACGAAATGATGAGTGAGTTGAAATAGTATTTATATTATTTGAAACACTACATATTTACATATTTTTAAGGGGGTGTGCATATACAAATTTTTTAAATTGAGTATATCTTACAATATGCGGTACGTTATTTTTAAAAAATGATATATATTTTGATACTCGTTTTGACAATCTTGTCTGTGACACAACTCCCTCATAATGTTTAAATCAAGCTAACTATCCAATCAAGCATAAGATGAAAAGGCACAAATGTTTTTACATGGAACCCAAAAGGAAAAACCATGGGATCAGTATTATATGAGACAACAGTTGGGTCCTTTTTCAAACAAATACTAAAAAATCATGAAATATTACTCCAAAGTTTCGAATTCCATAGTAGAAAAACTGCCACATGCAATTCCAATTTTGACCCACCAAACATAATTTTGTTTTCGAATTCTAACACCATATTTGGATTTGTGGACCCAAAAAACATAGGACCATGCCTTCCTTTTTAATCAAACTTAATTTTTCAAAAACCAAATTCCATGTTCTTCCCCAAATTTTTGGTTATAGTTTCTTTCTTAATTCTTGGCACCCATTTATATTAACTTATAGGAAGGTTAGATATTTTTGGTAAAAAATTTGCCCCAACCTCCACGTAAAGCTAAGTTGAACTTTGTCAACTTTCAAGTCGGCTCTCCCTCCGATGATCTGAACCAGCTTTTCAAGTTTTGGGAATCCCGTAAAGAAGTCGAAGACCGGAGAGGGGAGCTCCGAGGGTTAACCCTCTGATGCTAAAGTCAACAATATGGTGAAAGCTGGGGAGGTATATTTAGAAACTGAGTTACGTGCCTTTCATGTTTTCCATAAGCTGCTTTTTAGGGTCTAGGAATTAGTTTTCTTATGGGAGTGGACTCCAAGCTCCCCCATTGAGAAATTAGACTCCTTCTGTTTGAGGAGTTTGATCTTCCTGCTCATCCTTTGAGGCGAGGCGAGACTCCCTTCGCATGAGGAGTCTTTGACTTCCTTTCCCACTGTTAAGCAGGTTGAGATTCATTTGGGATGAGGGGTTGCGCTCTTCCTTGAATCTTTCATTATGGAGTACTTCGGTTAGGCTCTTCCTTTTCAGTTTTTCTTCCACAGATTTTGCTTTGTAGCAAAAAAATCCTTCGAGAAGAACTTAGGGCTTTTTTTGAATCCCTAATTCATTAATCGCCTTGCAAGAATCTTTGATTCGTACTCAATCCTCTCGCAATTTGCTAATTGTTTACTTCTTCCTCTATTTTATATTCATCACAACTGTTTTCTTTTAATGGTGGATACCAATTCTGAAAGAACTTTGTTTGATCTTCCTTTGCCTCTGGTACACGAGGCAGACCTTGCGAATGAAGATCCAAAGCTTTTCTTGGAGTATCCCTCTACAGAATAATCTCTTAACTAGAGTATTACGCCAAGGGTGTTCGTAGCAGCATCACATAAATGGATCTTTTGGAAATTAGGGCTCAATTTTCCATCTAGTCTTTGTTGGGCTACGAGTCCCTACGAATGACGAAAGAGCTTGTGACTTTATTATAGGTGAAGTTTGTTTTTATGAGGTTGCCCTAATCTCTGGGCTCAGGTTTCTTATCCAGCCCTTCATTCACAATTTTCTCTCGTTTCTTAATATTAATCTTGCCCATCTTACCCCCAATCGCCAAAGAGTCTTGATAGGTTTGGGGTTTTCTAGGGCTCTGCCCTTTGTATTGTGAGGATGTCCAAAATGCTGGTCCAGTAGTTCTACAAGGTAGATGATCTTGTTGACCTTCTTTCTTTCATCGTTTCCTCTTTCCTCTTTCCTTTGCCTCTAACAACTCAATGTATTTGCCTTGGCTAAACTGCCATCTTTGCCACTGCAATGACCTACTCTATCTTCACGGAAGAGAATCTTTGGGAATAGAAGCTTGAGACTTGACTTGAGGACTCTTTTTCCTTCAAAACTGAGCTGCTATCATGTGAAGAGGAATTAGTGCAAGTTCGTTCTAAATTGGATCGTATCCAAAATTCCCTAGCGCTTGAGAGGGCTTCTAAGAGTGGACAGGAGATGCCTTGAGGGTCTTTAAAGAAGAGGTAAGCAAGGCTAGAGAGAAGGAGACGGAGCTTGCA